AAGTAATCTATATCTTCTGTATAGCCTGCTTATATTCTGCATATAGCTTATCTACGTTCTGCCATCCTTTGACGCGTTTATTGTTCTTATATATATTTTTTTTCCTTTTGTACCTTTTTTGATATTAATATAATTTTTGTGTCAATTGTTTGTACGTGTCAGTGACCAACACAAAAGCCTATGCTACTTTGGTCACTGAGCACATTTCATTTTGGCTATTTACTGTTATTTTTCTTTTCTCTTTTTAATTAATGTAATTTCTGTAAATACTGTTAAAGTTATAATTTTTGTAAATAGTGTAAAACAATAAAAATCTGAAATCTGAATCTACCAGCACGAAAACAACTACAAAATTCGACGTGAAAGTATTTGAAAATACAGTTTTAATGTGTAGATTGGGCCAAGCCTAAAAGCGGAGCTCCTGGGCCGGGTTTTTCAACGCATGATTGAGCTAACCCAGGATAAGTGAGAATTTTGATTTGATTTTTTTTTTTAACTTGGCGATAAGGTTTTCTGCTTACATCGTTTGGCCATCTGAGTTTGAATAATTTCAAATTACACAAAACATAAACTATGAAAAACATATTTATACAAAAAAAAGGTATACTTCAGTTAACTTTTAATCCGAAAAGCCGGTACCTGTTCAGCGTTTAATTTCAAAGCTCAAAACTTGAGCCCGCAATATGGCCACGTGATACTGGTCAGCGGATACCGTTTTTTGACAGGTGTCAACTGACCATAAAATGGATGTCCAATATCAAAGATGTATGCTGTTAACTGAGGCCGCATGTCCTATTAGCTGGAGTATGGCCACCACGTTGTGTGACGTCGTCGTCGTCCCTGCTGTCGTCGTGCGTACACCCCCACGAGTAATACCGCTAGCCATTTTTACCATGAGAAAAACGACTCATGTGTTTCTATGAGCAAAGAGCCTGGCGGCCCTTTGGGGCGCCGGAGCTCCGCTATTAAATTATTTCGTGCAATTATCGAGGACAACCAACACAAAACTATTTGTTTACAATTACAATTTACAACTACTTTGACAAAGGAACTGAAAAACATGTTTTTTTTTTATTAAATCTTCTGCCCCCATTTTTGGTTTAAACTTTCAGTTCAACTCAACATATAGGTGGATGGCATAGCTGTATAGGTACGGTTAAGTCTGCACACGAGGCAAGTGGCCCATCAGGCCGGAGCTTATCCCGGTTTCTGTATCATGAAACGAGTAGGAGTATTTCTAGTCCCCTGGATGGGATGCTAATCCGCCGCAGGGCCACCCCCAGCATTACGTTTATACACCTGGGTGGAGAGAGGCACTGTGAGAGTAAAGTGTCTTGCCCAAGAACACAACGCAATGTCCCCGGCCAGAGCTTGAATCCGGACCGCTCGATCCGGAGACGAGCGCACTAACCATGAGGTCACCGCGGATGGCATAAGCAAGGTATAATTTTAAAGTTACGCAGCACTAACATGACACGAACTAAAAATAATAGAGTTAACTTTGTATAAATTTTGCATGCTAGAAATAGTCCTGCTTTCATCTGGCCTTGTAGCTCAGTCGGTAGGTTGGCTGGTGCGGCCCCCATCTACCATCACATTTTCTATAAAGTCAGTTCTCGGATTTCCAGTTCGACTTTATCATGGTCTATTTAGACAACTTTCACACGTGATATTCATGCGACATGAATTCTTTCATCTAAATTAGACCTGTAATGTGCTCACGAGTGTCGCGTCAGAATCGTGAGCGCGTAAATGTCCAAGTTACTACTTTTTGTAGTCATGTTGCATGCGATAGTCGTAGCCAGAAACGAGAACGTTTAATCGCTGGTTTTCAGTGTCACGCCATTCAAAATAGACCAAAATAAAAATCAAAACCGTTCAATAGATAAAGTCCAGAATCTGGGAAATGAAAGAAGGTAAATATGCA